TTTTTTTGGTGGGAGAGTGACGGGGGTGGGGTGGTGGTGGTGGGGTGGGGGTGGGGTCTGGTTGTTAATAGATTCTGACAGCTTTGTCTGATTGGAAACATTTGATGGGATGAAAATTAGTAACGGTTAATACAGTAGACTTTATTCTTTAGGGCATGACAATTGGGCAGACATTTTGCATGGGATGATTTCTTCCTTTTTTATTTTGAGACGGTCCACCGTATTGGTGATACTGAGGCCATTTTGTAGGAAAGGCAATCACTGTACCAACTGGAAACACTTTCCACAGCGTCTTCACATGTTTGACCGAGACATCAGGGCCAGTGTAGTTCGCTGATTTGTGCTGATGCGCTTTCTTGTAGGTGAGTGTCGCCTCTGATCCTGGTCGGCGAGTTCAGCACAATATGCTGAGCCCATTCCATAGTCCTTTCCAGAGCCCATTCCGGAGTCCTGCGAGGAGCCCATTCCGGAGCCCCTTCAAGAATTTCGGACACCCAGGAGGGAGGACGATTGACTTTGATTGTGAAGATGATGAGATGAATTTGAACTGTTTCATCCTCATGTTCGATCTTCTCCTGAAGCAGGTAGCTGAAGCCTGAGCTTCACGTTAGTTCAGAGGTGAAGAATGGGGGAGCGCATTGCATAGTGCTTCTTTTTGTCTATGGGCTTACTGATGTGGGGGAGCGTGGCCCAAACATTTTGCAAACTCCTTTGGGAATTTCCTAAAGAGTCTGAAAAATGCTTGGATGGATACTTGTATGTCAGCAGTGATGTTGACGTCTGACAATGGACTTGCATTTAGAAAATGCTTGCTTCATTGGAATTACTACATCCGGTAAACAAATGAGATAATCATAATTTCTGGGAAGACCAGATACAACTCTCTAGTGATGGGGAAGCTGATTCTATTATATGTCATAAGTTGATTTTTTTTTACAGGAAATTTAGAAACATAAATCAAAAATGCTCTGTCCAGGAGGACATTGGTATGTTCTGGTTTGAAATAATTTTGAGCTTACAGAAACATTGCAAGAAGAGTACAAACATTTTTTCAATGCCCTCTCTAGATTCCTTAGCTAGCGCTATGATCACATTTCCTTTTCTTTCTCTACATGTGTGAAAATGTACACATATATGTATACACATATTTTTTTCCTGAACGATTTGCGGGTCAACTGTAAATTTGCAACTTTATTCCTCAACATTTTAGTCTGCATTTTCTAAAAATTAGGACATTCTCTTACCTAACCCTGGCATAGTTATACAAATACTAAAATGATCATTGGTACAAACGATTGTATCTTATCAGCTGACCTAATTATCATAAGTAGGATACCTTTCTAGCAAAGGAAACACTTGTTTTTTGAAGCCGGACACCCTCCTGCAATGGTTGACCCTTTCTCTTTAGTCTTCCTCTTCCTGGGGCCATTCGTTAGTCAGTTTTCGTCTCTTCTGCCCTTGACTGTTTGGAAGCGTGTTCACTACCATTTCATCAATTCCTACTCGCAGTGACCCTGTAGGACAGAGTAGAACTGCCCCTATGAGTTTCCCAGGCTGTAAACCTTTATGGGAACAGAAAGCCTCATCTTTCGCCCTCAGAATGGCCGGTGGGTTTGAACCACTGACCTATGGTTGGCAGCCCAACACGTAACCCACTACACCCCCAGAATCCCTTTAGAGAGTGCATCCAGTTGCTCTGTGGATACACATCCGGGTTTTATCTGATGTTTTCTTATGACTTGATTTGCGCTGGACATTTGGGGGGCAGGAATACCACAGGAGCAATCCCGTGTTCTTTTCAGGGCTCCACGCCAGGAGACACATGTTGTCAATCTGTTCCTTTAACTTTTGTCCTTTGATGACTTCCTTAAGGAGATTTCTGCCAGATTCCTCCACGATACAGGCACGATGTTCCTTTGTGAGTGAGTAGACAAGTTGTGGAGAGATCTGAGGAGATTCCATGTTTCGTATTAGGCAATCAAGTACAAGTGCTTGCCAAGTGGTAATTTCCTTTCTTTTCTTTTTGTGGGAAGACATGATGGAGAAGTTTAATATCAGCAGATAAAATGATGGAACAAATCATAAGCAGTTGGTGGTCTCTGATGAAAACACGCCCCACGTATATAAGACGAAGTCTCGCCATCCTTGTGTCTAAGGAGTGTTCTGGCCTCGTTTCCCAACTTGTTCAGCATGGAGGTCAAATAAGTATAGTGAGAAAAGAAAGCCCTGGCACGTACCTTTCCTGATTTTCACCCATGCAATATTTCTTTGTTCTGGTCACACAGTTGCCTCTGGAGTCACACACATGTTCTGCAGGAGCACAATGAAGTGTTCTGAAATGGCCATGCTTCTCAAAGCTACCCATAGTTTGCTATAATCCACACCGTCAAATGTCTTTGCACAGCCAATAAGAAACAAGTACCCATCTTTATGTTCCTTTCTGCATTCAGCCCAGCTCCCTCTTACATCAGTAACGATGCCCTTTGTTCCACGTCCTTTTCTGAATCCACCTGAACCGGTGGCAGCAACCTGTCACTGTCCTGCTCTCCCTGTTGTTGGATGAACTTCAGGAAAAACGTACTTGCGAGTGATATTAATGACATCATTTTATAACGTGCACACTCCTTTGGTCACCTTTCTGTGGAGTGGGTACAAATATAGTTCTCTTCCCATCAGTCGTTCGGTAGCTGTCATCCAAATTTCCTGGCATAGGTGAGTGAGTGCTTCCCATGCGTTATCAGCTTGTTGGTTGGTGTTCAATCGCTTCCTGGAGCCTGGCTTTTGGCTAATGCCAAACACCATTTGGTTCTTGCTCAGATGTTACCTCCCGACATGATGATGCATCAGTTACATGGGTGGCAAAATCTCTGACCCAATATTTGTGTCTGGGGCGGCCATGATCTCAGCAGCCAGGTCTGCACAGAGAGCAGGAGGGCGGGGAGCGAGGAGAGAGCGTTTCCCCCAGTGGTGGTTTTTTAAAACCACAAATTCTTCTCAATGCATTCTCCTGAAGAAAGAGATTGACTTCCTTCCTTCCTTTCTTTGTGATCCAGTGCTTCCGTAACACAAACATCACGCACGATGGCCTGAGCAAACAGACGTTTATTCTCTTGAAGTTTAGGAGGCTGGGAGCCAAATTCAGGGAACCGGCTCTAGCAGAAAAATGTATCTTCTTTGTTGGTTCTGGTTTCCTCTCAACACCTGTTGGACCTGGTGTTGCTTGGAGATCTCTAAGTGTTTCTGCATAACCTTTTCCCTGGGTCTAGGACGTTCTAAGTGCAGGGACTCCTGGATCCAAAGGATGTCCAACTGGCTCTTTGTTCTCAGTGATCCTGAGGTCTCTTTGGTCTCTGCTGGGTTCTCTCTGCTTTGGTCTCTTCTAAGATAAAAGGTGATGCAGGCCACCCTCCCTGGGACTCAGCTTATATTGGGTTAGGGCTGGGACTTGAATAAGGGTGTTGCATTCCACCTTAATCCTCTTACAACTGATTGGCTGGTCACATCACACCATGGGGGATGATTACATCATTACAGAACTGCCAAATCACATGATTACATAACTGCCAAGCCATTGAAAATCATGGATTAGCCAAGTTGAGACACACACACACACACACACACACACACACGAGCACACAATTCAATCCATGACACCTCCTTATACCAACATGTACTCATAGGCTCTTATTTTGTGCAGTGGGGTATTGTTTATGACTGTGATGAGTTTTGATGCTCTTACTGTCCCATATTCCCCAGGAGGGCGGGTCACTTCAGGTGGGCTCATGTGTTCTCGTTACATGCACTCATCAGTCTTTGGGCACTTCCTCCATTTTTGGTAAGAAAAGTTTCTCCAAGCTCACCTTCTATTTTCCTAGACGCAGCCTTGGAATCAACCATTTCTCCAACGATCCCTGGTTCCTTTAGGGAGAAATAGCATTTAAGAACACATTTCTGAATGGTAGATGAGGCGTAGAATTTTCAAAATGTGCAACATCTCATGAACCAATGATATTAAAAGAGACCTCTCTCTTTAAGTCTCCTGCATGGCGGAGCCATCAGTCTCCACATTTTGTCCTATGCTCATACTCTTTTTAGGTGAATTCATAGCAAACACTGTGTTGCGATGCCCTAGAGCGTGTGTTTTTCTTTAGATGATTTAACGTTGCTGTTGGTCAGGGGAAATCACCCCCACGGAGTGTTCTGGGGACACACTGGATCATGAAAGGACCAAATTCCTTTCTTTTTCCTCTTTTGGATGTCTTTCAGATGGAGTTACAAGATGATGGCATCACGATGGGGCTAGAGCACAGCTTGTCCAAGGACATTATTTCCATTATAAACAACGTCTTCCAAGCCCCCTGGGGGGGCTCCCACACCTGCCAGAAGGAAGAGAAAGCAGTCGAGTGTAACTTATGTCAGTCTAGTATTCTCTGCTATCAGCTTGCTTGTGAACTCCTGGAGAGACTAGCTCCCAAAGAAGAAAGTCGGCTGGTGGTAAGCAGTTGAAGCGATGAGATGACCCGTGCATGATAGTAATTCGGAGTGCGGCGGCTCATGTAATGGAGTCTTCCTCCAATATCATTTTATGCTGCATGCTGAGCTATACGTGCAGTGTGTAAAAGGAAGTTTTCTCGTTGCTCTCACCAGCTCAGGCTTCCAGAAAGGGATCTGAGGTGGAACCAAACTATCAGAGGTCTGTTAAGTGCTCAATTCATGCACTTTTCACAAATATCAGCATTACCGCTCCTCTTGAAAGAAGTCTCACAGCAAAGTTCTGTTTCTAAGTTTAAATAATAGGCCATCCCATAATATAGATAGCAGGTATTAGGTAAGTCGATTGTATACAGACACGGAGAATTCTTGGGCAACCCCAGTTTGTAAAGCCGATGGACTTCATCAGCAACCAATAAAAATGTCATCTCCTTTTCTGGTGGCTTTTATTTCCTGAGTTCCAAGAAAATGATCCAAATAGGAAACAGCTAAGATATGCCATACAGTAATTACACGATTTCCTACTTAGGATATTTTCTGTGTAAGATGCATACGTCATCAAAATACACTTGCATCAGCATAAGAAGTTGAATCTAAACTATTTGAGCTGATGGTTGCCTTCTTTTCTTTTTCTTCCTCTCTGCTTGTTTAGGGTTGAAAACAATTTTTTTTTTTTACTTTGGATACGTGCAGCAAATAATTCCTCTAGGTGGTTAAGTACTTTTGTCCCATTTAAATTCACTATTCTTACCCATGTCAACACAACATGCCTAAAGTATGATCTTGTAACATAGTCACGGGGCTCTTACTGTCACCGTCGTGATGGATGATGAGAAAATAGAAATCGAAGTCAAGAAGCCTTTAGTCTAATTACAAAGGCATTTAAATCAATGTAAGATGGCCTGGGGGCTGCATTATAGCAGGTGCGAACAAAGCAGTTGTTGGAATATAGAGACGGGGCCAGGAGACTTGCTTAGAGAGGAGGTAAGACACAAAAAGGCCTTTCTGGAAGAATTGCCATTAAAGCTTATCCGTGAAGGGGGATGGGGGTTAATACCATGAAGAGAATAGGGGAGAGGACTTCTCAGGCCCGGAAGACGAGGCGCTTACATGATGCGGAGGCGAAGAGGGGAGGGGTCCTACAGGCATGAAGCTATAAGTAGGTCCAGTATTTCTAGAGCATGAAAGAGGATGGGAAGCAGGCAAAACCGAGTCTGGAAAGAGACTGCATTTTATATTCGTCTTTTCTCTCAAAGGACTCAGCCTTGCCAAACTTGGAAGTTTGGATTTTGTGCTGGCTAGCAATCTAGAAACCCGGGAGAACTTTAAACAAGGTCGAGGCACAACTCAATGCATTGGAGAAATGTGTCATTCCAGTGGCGGGGCTTGGACCGTGGCGTTGGGAGCGTGGTCATGAGACTGCTGGAGTCATCTAGGAAAGAGAAGCTGGGGCCTCAGCTAGAGCAGCGCTGGCATGGATGAAGAGAGGGGTAGCCCAGCAAGACCCCTGGAGAAGAGAAGCGGCCACACTGGGTGTCCATTGGTGTTTGGTCATGGAAATGTTTTGGACAAATCCGTGCTTTCTGGCTTGTGAGCCGACGATGAAGCTCGCTACAGGAATCAAACAAAAAGCAAAACAAAAACGAATACCAAATCCACTGGTATCCAATCGATCCCCCTTCACAGGGACCTGATAGGGAAAGGTTTCCACGGCTGTAATCTTCACGGAAGCAGATGTCGTTCTACTGTGGAGAAGCTGGGAGGGGGAATGGCCATCCTTTTGCTTAGCAGCTGAACCCGTCACTGCGATTCCATCAGGATTTCACTGCAGTAATCGGAGGAGCAAATTTTGGGTGGGAGTGAGATATTGGGTCATATATGGATCTACCAGTGGTGGCCCCATATGCCACATCATTGGATAGGAGGCTCTGGTTCTTAAGACAAAGGCCAGAAGTAGCTTTAAGTCCAGAGGCCTCAGTATGGGATGAGGGGAGCCCTGTGTGGATTTCAGCAAGGATGAGTGTTCAGCGTGAGAAGGGGAGAGGGCTGAGGAAGCACCCATGCTGAAGGAGAGGGAAAAAAAATAAAGGTGAGGGCGAGACAGACAAGGAGCAAACTGAAGGGGCCAGAGATGCAAAAGGAACACTGAGGGAGAACACGAACTCAGGGACCCTGGTGCAGACTGTTGAGAAACGGGTGGAGCATTCGTGCCAAAGTTTGAAAAGAGGAAGAATGAAAGAGCGCTCACTAGCCAGTGACTCCTGAAACTGGAGGGGCCTGGGTGCCGGTAGCATCGCAGACTGAGGAAAAGGTGCAGTAGCTTGACGTGTGCGTAAGGTCCGCCGACGAAGTGGATACTTCACCTTCAAGAAAGGAACAAACGGGCAAGGAGGAAAGAGACAGGGGCCCCCAGCAAGCTTTCCATGTTGTGTTGGATCTGACCACACTGTCACATGAAACGAGGAATAGGCAGATGCGCGCAGGGACAATTCTCCATGAGTAAAATGTCCTGTTCTTAATATATATATATATATATATATATATATATATATATATATATATATCAAAGAGGGTCATGCCTAGAACACTGGAGCAGCTTAGTTCTCCTCTGGGGATAAGTCGAGGTCAAGAGGGTAGGGTGGGCGAGAAGGTGGGCATGACGGCGGTATGCCGAGTATGTAAAACACATAGCACCTACCAGACCCTGCTGCCCCAGAGGACTGTAGGCCGGAATATGGGTTACAGGGTATAGACAGAAGAGTCAGGGCGGGGCTAGCAACTTGTCACTCGATAAAATTGTAGGAAAGTCAATCTACCAATTACTGTGGATTCCTGTTTCTGGGGAACCGCAGAGCCGGGCCGCGTCTTCGGCATCTGGATCATTAGCTAGGACGTTAATCAGAGAGTCCTCACAGCCATGGTCTCGGCGGCTCATGTTTTTCTTCCCGGGGCCTTCTTGCGACTAGCTGGCTGCCAAGTCACCCTTGAACACGTGGTGCGAGGGAAAGTGCTAGCTCACGGGGTATGCGTTTCAATGGCAGTATGGGAAGATGGTTTCTGAACGCAAGAAGACAGCTAAAATAGGAGTAGAACTAGAGATGGATATTCTAAGTGGTAGCCATCACTAGCTCTCTTGAACTTCAGCACACACTATAGCAATTTCCTAACTTCCTTGGACCACCAGGATTGGGTCTTGGTGTGTTTCTTATGGCCCCTCCTAACCGAGTCCTTATGTGGGATACAGTGGGCCTGGGCAGAGTCATAAGGTAGACGGGACTATTGATTACAGGGATAGGACACTAGCAGCAGAAATGGGAAGTAGGCTTCAGACGATTTGACAACGGTTCTTTCGGGGGGGAGGGTTGATATTTTTCCATATTTATTTCTGTTTCACTAAGAGCGGACACAAACTCCCTTAAACCATTTTTGGAAAATAAGCTCACATCTTCTCTGAGTTCTCCCTCCTCCGCTTTTGCTTCCCGGGTTCAGCACCCGGGTTCCCGGCACCCAGCGGGCACTCAGCACCCTGTTGAACTAAACGGAATCTTTCCTTACAGCCTCCAAGGACTGCTCATCTAGCTGCCTGTCATCTGTGTTTCAGGAGCCCACAGACAGTCTTGAAGAAAGCCTCCTTTCTTCCAGACCGGACTTTATTGTCGGCCTGGAAGGCGAGGAGGAAGACAATCCGGCAGCCAAGCCCGAGGAGAACCCTGGAAACTGCACTGAGCCCACAGAACATGCTGGTAGGTGAACCTGGACCAACTGTGCAGTGGGTGGTGTCCGTCGCCCAGTTTGGCCAGATGGAATGTCCAGAACCATGGTTTCTTAGAATTGTTTCAACTCGGGCAAGTCCAGACTCGATTTCCTTCACCCACACTTGCACATGAACCATTTCTCACAAGCTCCCAGGTGCGAGCAGCTCCATTGTGTGGTCTCAGTGGAACAGAGTTGACGGAGCATCTTTCCCACAGCACGGAGCTTGTGAGTCATAACGATCCACCGTGTTAGTGTAGCTAGCCTCATCTGCTCTCTTTAAAAGGGGTCACACTCTCTGCAGAGCAGTAGCTGGGAACCGGGTCTGAATGGCCAGAGCAGTGAGTGCTGACAATGTTCACACTCACCCAGGGTGGTTTGGCTACAGTAGAGTGCTTTAGGGCAGAGGTGGAGGGAACACACACACACACACACACACACACACACACACAAACACACACACACGCGAACGCGCCCTTGCACCTGCTGTGCTCCCGGTGGTAGGCTTTGAACAGGCTCATGGGGCAGGTGGGACTTGAAGGCTGGTTGGCCCACTTCAGAGGGGGAGGAGGCTTGATGTTTCTGTGGGTGAGATTTGGGGACAGCAAGATGCCAGGCCGGTCCAGAGTCACGCACACAAGATAAGAACCAGCTGAAACCCGGGTACAAGGGGCAAGAACCCCTCCAATGAACCGGACTCTTCTGCAGAAGAAAACATGGTCAGAGTCCCCAGACTCCCCTTGGGGCAGTTGACAAGGTGTCAGAATGGATAATAAACCCTAAATCAGGTCTGGCTAGTACAGAGTCCAAGTGCCCCATATAGTAGACTTCCTTCACAAGAATAAGAAAGCAAGACTGTGCCCCTGTTCAGGGCACCAACATTATGAAACCATAGGAAAATCCTTGGTCCAGCGTGAGCATGGCGAGCCAGGAAGCGGCTGTCCCTCAGAGAGTCATGGACTGAGCATCCTTATCTAAGCAAAACTCTTGCCCCGGTCATACACACCCGGCGAGGAGCTTCCTTCAGCAAGCATTTTCAATGGCGCACCATTAAATTCCAGGCAAGGGTGCCCCTGCTGGCTTGCCTTCCTATCATCCAGAATGACAATGCTCGTCAAGAGAGGAGTCTCCAACTCATAAACTATAATTTAACGTGAAAAAATAGTTGATAGAATTTTAAATAACACTTTGGAGTAGGTTTTTTTGTTGTTGTTGTTGTTGTTGTTGTTTCCTTTGGACACAAACCCTAGTAAACATGGACTGGCCAACGTGGTCTGTATAAAAAAAAAGAAAGGAAAACATTCAGACTCTGCTCCTCTGGCTTCTGGGAAGGTCTGATTTCTAGAGGTGAGCTGTGGCTCTCTGGGAATTTGTACTGAATCTGCAGGAAATCTGGGGGGAGGGGTGTCTTTTTCTGGCATCCACTGTCATGAATTATTGGATGACTCACGCTTGTAAGTCCATCCCACAGGACTGGAGTTGGGAAACACGGACTGTTCCATTCCTTCAAACATCGATAAGTGTCTGTCTTGTGTGGCTCCTGGCGGTGCTAGGGTGACGTGACTGGCCTCTGGGGACTACGTCATTACCATGCAATTCTGGGTCATAACGAATCGGTTCTTCTCTCCCAAACGGGTCCTGTTAGGGACCTGTTTAGTATGTGTGTCACACTACTGCAAGCCTCTGAAAGGTAGAAATTTGAAGGCACACCTGAGGTCATCTGCTTCCTTGATGTTCAAGGTGTCCCTCTTGGGTGTGGAAAGGTTCTGCGTTGTTGCTTCCTGTGGAACTTCCTTAGATGGGGTGGCAGTTGATTGAAAGGTTTGGGCGAATGGTAAAGACCTCGGCTCCTTGCTTCAACCAGAGAGCTCTGTCTTGTTCTGATTCATCTGTTGGAGTTCTATGTAAGCTTTTCTCTTACTATTAGTATTTAAAACAAAGTATCCCATAAGGGGGGCGGGTGTTTATAATCTGCTGGGCTAGTTGACTCCTCTCACTTCGCACCGAAAGAAATCCCAGATTCCTTAAACGATTTGTCCACAGGCATGTAGCTGGTCTCCATTCTTTATATATGTTTTATACTTAACATGCTTCCAGAAATGTGTTGGAGCATCAGAATCATCTGAGGGGTTTAAACAAACAAACTAATTTCATCTCCCTCTCCTGACCCCCCCGCCCCCAAACAGGTCTGAAGTGGAGGCCTGGGAAATGGAAGCCCAAACCGTGCTGCAGTTTGTGGCAGGGCTGGGACTATAACCTCAAGCAGTTGTTCGATGCCATCGAGTCAGTCCCAACTTGTCACAACCCTACGTCCAAGCCAGCCCCGAGCGGCCCTCACAACTGTTCCTGTGTCTGAACCTATTGTTGCCGCTCTGGCGTCGATCCCTCTTATTGAGGGTCTTCCTCTGTTACCGCCCTTCTACTTTACTAAGTATGATGCCCTTTTCCAGAGCCTCGAGATCGCTCATCCAAAGGACATGAGACAAAGTCTCGGCATCCTGCCTTCGAAGGAATATTCTGGCTAGATTTCTTCCAAGACAACTTGCTTGTTCTTTTGACAGCCCGTGGCACATCCAATATTCCTTGCCAACACCATCATTCAAAGGCATCGATTCTTCTCTGGTCTTTCTGATTCGAACCCCAGCTTTTACATGTGCAATTCAGCTCACGTGCGTTGGACCTGTTGTTGGGCGAGACCAGTCCCTGAGGAAGGCATCGTGTTTGGTAACGTAGAAGGGCAGTGGAAGAGGAAGGCCCTCAAGGAGAGGAAAGGACTGAGTGAGTGCATCAAGCACAGGAACAATAGTGAGGCTGGTGCAGGAGCGAGCAGTGTTTCCTTCTGTTGTGGATAGGGTTACTCTAAACGAGAAGCTGCCTGATGGCCCCTATCCACAACAAGAGCCCCACAGGTCACCTCTTTGCCACCAGGGCTTCCTAGACACAGCACACCATACAGCACTTCACCAGTTTCTGTGTACATGTGGATTACGTGATTTGAGTGGCAGCCATTCTCTCCCTCCATAATCCACTGCCCGCCAAGCTTTCTCTGTCTGCTCCACCCTATGCACATCATTCTTTCAAGAGCAGATTTTTTTTTACTGGCTAGATTAAATGATTGTTTTGTTTTCATTAAAAATCGGGGGGTATTTTTGGGTTAAGATGTCAAGATTATCTCAGGGTAAGAGTTTCTGAGGTTCCTCCATCCTCAGATACCCCAGAAACGTTAGAATCTGTGACCATGTGAAACGATACTCAGCCTCCCCTTGGTCAGCATCCCTGGCCCCTTGATCAGGACTCTTCTCTGGACTCTGATCAAAATGTCCAATCCTGGTCGCCGTGCTTCGTGTACTCCTTGGTTTTTGGTCTGGAAAAAGCCATGGTGGGGAAGAGGAGAGGCAATGTTAACCCGTGTGTCATCATTTCTTCACAGCAATAAAGAATGATACTGAAAGAAAATTTTGCTACCAACAACTTCCAGTAACCTTGAGATTAATATATACCATTTTCCAGGTAAACATTTTTTCTGAAGTATTTGTTTGGGGCTTGGTAGCAATGCTGTTTTGAATAGCTCAGTAACTCTGTGGTTCTTTGCATAGGAAATGGCTAAGTTTGAAGAGCCAGATATTCTTTTTAATATGCTCAATTGTCTGAAGATTCTCTGTTTACATGGAGAGTGTTTATACATTGCTAGAAAAGATCATCCTCAATTTTTAGCCTACATTCAGGATCATATGTTGATTGCAAGGTACGTCTAACAATTACTCTGTTTTTAACTGAGGCTTTAGTCGTGAAGACTAATGTTAGACTAATCCTCACTGGCTGATTAGGGTTATATTTCTTAGCCAAGCCATCCCAACTGTTTTTATTTCTTTTATTACTTATAGCTAGTCTAATTTTAATGGTGCTGATACAAGCAATCGTGTTTTTCATTTGCTAGATACTGTAGAAACAAAATGGTAAAATAAAGATTATCTTAAACTTTTCGGCTGTCAAGTGGCTTAAAATAGCAAATCCTGGGAAAATGTCAGCAGACCCCTACACTCGTATTTACCGAATGGAATTGAGTACGGGCGCACTCAGCTTCTTTCTCGAAATGAAGCTGTCACTAGAGATCTAAACTGTCTTCATATCTTGTTTCCTAAGGGTTGTCTTAGAGAGTGCTAAGGCACTTTGGGAGTAAGAGTAAACTCTTACCCTGATTTATACAGTGATTTCTTCCCGAAAAGCCTTCAAATCATGGTTATAACCTTCCTGGAAATGTTGCTAGATGCTGTCGAGACTTCAGATGTTGTCAGATATATCTGAGCGATTGAATGACAATTCAGATTCATCAGCGACGCCTGCGACAGAGTGGAACTGCTCTGTTTTTAAGGCTCTCATCTGTTTAGACCCCAATCGCCAGATCTTTCTCCCAAAGAGCTGCTGGGTGGGTTGGAACCACTGGCAGTCTGGTTAGTAGCTGGGCACTTTACCCGCTGCGTCAGCAGGGCTCCTTAGCTACTAGGTACTGTTGAGTTGATTGCAACTCATAGGGATTCCATGCCCAGAGTAGAATGTGCTAGAGATCCTGGGGCTTTCTAGCCTGTCCTCTCCCTGGGAGCAGAGCTTCAGGGCTTTCTTCTGCGCTACAAAGCTGTTCTCCTGGAAGAAAGCCAGAAAGCATTATCCTTGTGTTCTCTGTAAGAAGAAGAAGCCCAAAGCGAATGATTGGTTCCGGTTAACTCCATGAACACTCCTGCTTGCTCCCTTCTCATTGAACAAGTATTAGGGAGTGCTCACTCCACATGGTCTTCATCTAGCTGCTTTAGGAGTTTCTAAGCTCATTTGGACAGGAGCCCTGGTGGCGTAGTGGTCACCTGTTAGGCTGTGATCGCAAAAGTCAACAGTTCGAAACCACTGACTTCTTTGAGGGAGAAAGATAGGGCTTTCTACTCTGGGAAACTGTTACCGTCTTGGAAACTCACAAGGGGTAGTTCTACCCTGTCCTATGAGGGTCACTATGCATCAGCATGGACTCGAAGGCAGTAAGGTTTTTAAAAGTCTCATCTAGGAGAAGTGAATGCTATGGACACAGAGAGTGACTCTTGACAATTTTGAATTCTGCTTGAGGCTCAGGGTCTTGGAAAACTGTAGTCTGGGAAGTGGAAAGTGGTCTACTGAAGAAGTATCCTTCCCCTTAGGACTTAGATAAGACTCATGGAGGCCCCTTGTTTACCTGTGACACAGGCAGATCCTCTTTTTTTGTTGTTGTTGTCTCAGAAGGTCTAGCTTCACTGTCTTGTCCCCACTGAAGAATTGGTGCAAAGCGTTTGCTAACCAAACTTTGGCCAACATTCTCTGCTTTCCCCCCAATATCTAAAGCCACCCCCACCACCCTCGGGCTGAGTCAGCATACAAGCCCCCTTTCCCAGCGCCTCCTGAGAACAAGCTGACCCCAGAGTAAGAAAGAGAGCTCCAGCTTTTCTGTCGGGCACACGCTTCCATCCAGTCTCCCCGCAGTCTGCTCTTCTTGGCCTGTTTCACTCCGTCCTAGAAAGAAATTGATGGAGTCTTGGTGGTGTGGTTGTTAAGCAATTGGCTGCTAACGGGAGGTCAGCAACTGGAACTCACAAGGTCCCGGTGAGTCAGAATTGGCTCCAGGACCACGGGCTCTGGCTGTGATGAAAATTAAGGATGAGGACATAGGTTGGGAGCCAAATGTGAAAGACCCTAGAGATAGGGGACTTACGTTCAAGGTGCTTTGGGGCTCTAAACACCATTGTTTGGATGTTTGGGGCTCAGAGATGGAAAGAAATTGGCTCATGGTCACAAGTTGATGGGTGGCAGGGCTGGGGATAGATTCAAATTGGTCTGATGTTCACTCTTCAGAGGAAGCATGATGTGCTTGAGAATTACTCCTCTTTTGCTCCAGAAAGTCTCTCAGCAACAGGTAGCATTTGTGACTCAATATACTGTCTGTGAATCCGTGATGGGGTGTTTTGCTCCTCTGAGCTCTTGGCAATGCATTGTGAGGTCTTTGAAGGAACGATTAGTTTTCCTTCTGCAAATCCAAATCAAACTCAACCAGCCAACCATCCACCCACCCACCCAATCAATTAACCAACCACAAACAAGCATAGAGTGTACTTTAAATAATTGAATCAAAACCTTTAAGCTGGTAATATATTTTTACTAAAAATGTAGATTCAGAATTATTCTGGTAACGATTGATAGGAAGGCAGGTTAAACTAGCTCAGGTGAATTTTGGGGATAGCTGGTAGTCAAAAGATGTCATCAGGGATGCTGCCCTCGCTTCCCTCCTTTCTCTTCTTCCCTCCCTATCACTTGACTCGATTGCCATCAATGTTGGCTTCTTCTCAGGCAGGTGGCTGCTAGAAGGGGGATCACTGGTGGCTCTAGACCACCAAGGCCTTTCATTCCTGTGAATTTAAAAGGAGAAAGATGCCTTCTCTCCCAAGGTCCACAACAAATCCTGAAAATAGGCTTCTGAAGTCTGCACGGCCACCAACATCGACTCTTTTTTCTCATCCAGGGAGTGCAGTACTGTGACCTGCCTGGGTTGGGTGCTCACCTTTATGATGTGAAAGGCTGTCGGTTGGAGGAGAGGTTTCGTTTTGGGGTTTTTTTCTTTTAAACTGTTTTCTCATCAGAATAAAGGGAATGGGCTGCCTGGCAGGCAAAACCAACCAAATTTCCCTGATATTCACTATTAGGAGAAAACAATCACTTGTCAAGACAGCATCCTAACGTATCTAATGCCTATTTTATGTTATTCAACAGACACCGTTCATTTAAATAGTCACATTCATACAGCTGAATTTGAACAGGTCAATGTTTAATTGATGTTTAAAGCATAAGCTAAGTAGTGTTTTACTATGTTGCGATATAAACATAATTCCTGAGGGACAGAAGCATTATCAGAGCGTTTTCCATGGGCAAAACGTGGCAGAGCATCAGAGGCTTGTGAATAGATAAGATTCCTAGTAAATGTATTCCTGTCAGCTACCTCACATCGTGTGAGTTAAGATAATAGGGCTTTGGTGTTTGTCCGGATGACTGTAACCGAGCCCTGTGGCTTCTTCTTGATTCTCAGCCTCTGGAGGGTCGTGAAATCCGAGTTCTCCCAGCTGTCTTCGCTGGCAGTCCCTCTTCTCCTCCACGCTCTGTCACTTCCTCATGGTGCTGACATCTTCTGGACAATCATAAATGGCAACTTCAACAGCAAAGACTGGAAGATGCGCTTTGAAGCAGGTACCTGTGTGTTAGCTTGCCAACGGCCTCTTGCTTCCCGGGGAAACAGGACCCAGCCCTGACCCTCTGTCTTCCTCCCTTCCTTTTAAGGGTTATCCTGTTGCTTGCCATGTACTTTGGGGTGCTTCTCTGAGGCTCAGCTTCCTCTACCACAGAGGAAGAGTTTTCATTGTTGTTGAGTAGTTAGTGCTTAGGTAGGGTGACCGTGTCCAGGTTTTCCTAGGGTAGTCCAGTTTATACATGTAACTGAGTCCTAGTGGCACAGTAGTTATGGTGCTCACCTGCCGACTGAAAGGTTGGCAGTTCAAACCCACCATGGGAGCAGTCTGCGACAGTGTGCTTCCGTGAAGATTTACAGCCTTGGGAAGCCCATGGGGGCAGTTGTATTGCATCCTCTCGAGTCTTCACGAGGATGGCAATGGGTTGAATGGTCAGTCCAGTTTATGCCTGTTTGGGCTATTAGGGTTTTCTAAAGTGTTCTGGAAAAATATCTACGTATAGTCTGGAGGCAGGATCCACCCTTAGGCAGCTAATTTTTTCCCCTCTAAGGCCTTCAACTGATTGCAACCCACACAGCTGTGAAAAATAATCTGCTTGTGACTAGACTAGAATTTCACCAAACTACTTGGCACCCATAACCCAGACAGGTGGACACATAAGGATAAGCATCACACCAGGTATTAATTGTGCCCTGGTTCAGTGTCCAATGGGTCCCGGCGTGAACCTGCATCCGAGGAGCTGGGGATGTGTTGAAAATACAGATTGCTTGGCCCCGCCCTAGACTACTGGGTTAAGATCTCTTGTGGTGAGGTCAAGAAGCTACATTTTAAATAAGCTTAGAAGGTAACTCACTGAAGTCTGAGAATCTCTGCTGTAAACTCTTGCAATTGGAGCACCTGGGACCCAGTCTGGAGCGTCGTTGGTAGAATGTCAGGTTCTCAAAGGACATGCTGGCTAAGAAAGCTGGATGTGTTCTCCGCCTTTTATCTGCTGGTTTCACATTCATTCCTGTTCTCAGGGGCACAGCTAGCCGGGTTAGGGTCACGTAGTGTGACTTATCCGAACATGACGGGCGTTCTTAACGGCTTGCCAAAAAGAATAGAAGATACGTGAATGGACTCTTGTTCTTTAGCTTTCAGCTCCACCCCCAAGAATGCTAGCTTTCTAATACCCACGTGCGTTCCAGGGGCCAGTTGACGGCTCTGAGAGCCCATGCCGCTGCAGAGAAGGAGCGTCAACGATGACTGTCCACTGCAAATGTGCACGGGCAAAGCAACACTTGGTAGACATGAACATGCTCAAGCACACCTCCTCTTGTGAGGGTGGCGCAGGACTGGGCAGTGTTTTATTCTTTGTCCACAGGGTGCCTCTGAAGGGGCGGCACCCCGACGATCATGGCAGCAACTCCAGCAACCTTTCACTTCGTTCATGCCGGTGTAGGGTGGAAATCCGTGCCCGCTCACAGCTCTACCTCTAGTACTTTCAACTTAAAAACCTTTAGTGGGTTCTCAAGGTCGAAAGCATCAAGTTCAGGCTCCTTAAATGGACATTCAAAGCTTCCACGAACTCCCCAAGTACGTTGGGCCTTGTTTTCCACTCCTCTGCCTACGCAGGTCCTGGCGATTTCCCCACTGATTCCTGCTTCCCGCCTGCCAGCTGTTGGCTGCTCTATTCTCTCCATTTGAGTCTCTCCCTTCCAGCTTGTTCAGATCCACCCGCATCCAATCCTCCTTCCAATGCCACCCTCAATTCTCACCTTCTCTGCCCTTCCCGCGAGAGCGTTTCTCTAGTCTTTGATCTCCCACAAGACCTTATTTCTAGCTGTTGAGAGGCCTCGGTGCCCTTCTAGATTATATCTCAATTACAGTTGTCCCTGTCTCAACTGTTTAAATGGATCTGCTTCTTAAAGCCAAGACTTGCGGGTGATGCTGAATCACCTTTTCATTTACTTCCATCCCCTCACAAGTGCGTTAGGTTCTTAATACACATTTTAAAATAAGAGAGTTGGTGACTTCCCTGAACAGACAGTGTATGTTCGAGGCACTCAACCTACTGCTGTGAGTTTGATTCTGACTCATAGGACTAGCCACCCTGGGTCAAGAAAAAGATGTGGAAGCAGATTCCTGCTCTCAAGAGGCTCTTACCTTAATTGACGAGACCAGATATAAACCTATAAAAGGTCTACATATAATTCAGTGTCATATAGCTGTTGATGAGCATACAGATGCCTTAGGTAAATGCATATTACTTTTTAGCAGAGGGAGCGGGACTGTAAGGTCACCCTAGGCAGTCAGAGTTAGCTTTTTAGGGTGCAGAGAAGTACAGAGAGAATGCTCCAGGCTTCTAGAATAGTTTAATCCAGGCACTGAAACATCATTGCTCATGTGGCAGTTGAAATGAGTTGATTTTATGATAGCACGTAATCTGTAGGGAATTAGCTCTGATATCCGCTCTATTATACTGCATAACTAGCTATTATACTTTTTTCACAAAATTTTATTTTGAGAGTGAATAGAATAATTAAACCTAGGTTTTCAAAATAACTAAGCTAGAGTACTGGAAATGGAACGAGCAGAAGCAAGTAAGGAGAATGTTGACATAGTGAAAAATAGAACTGTTGTCACCGCACCCTTGGTATTAAAATCATTAAACAAGAGCTTAACGTACTTTGTACAATCTCACCAAAAATACAGTGAATATTATTTCAATTAATAAGAAATCTACTAAGTAAGGGTGCATCTACTTCATACCTATCGTAGAAGTAATACGTCTATAGCCCCAGGAGGCATCCATTTGGCTCTGTTGTTTCACGTTGGGGCACACTGGGAGTGGGGTGGTGATGGTTGTGAGGTACTACTGAGTTCTTCTTGGCTCATGGCATAGATACAATAGAAGGAAACACTGCCTGGCCCTTCAGCATCCCTACAATTGTTGTATGTAAACCCATTGTTGCTGCCACTGTATCAATCCATCTCATTGAAGGTCCTCCTCTTTTTCAATGGCCTCTACTTTACCCAGTAGAATGTCTTTCTTCAGGCACTGGTC